CTTAGAACTCTGAACTTCTGGCTGGCACCTCTGATCTTTTTTCACTTTCAGAATGTTCCCAAGATATCAATCCTTCTTACTTCAGTTCACCTTTCAAAAATTTTCTCAAAAATAAATGCCTCCAATGGCCCTCTTGGCCACATTGAATAAATGTAAAAATATGGTAATTGTGCCCAGGAGTAAGCACATTTGCTCTTGATTGATACAGACTCAGGCTTGAGGAGAGGAGGAGAAGCCGGTAGATCACCTGCAGAGCCCTCTCTGGGTGAGTGGCCCCCTTTGCCTGCTGTCACTGCTGAGCTCTGTCCTGTGGCTTGCCTCTGTTCCTCCCTTTGCCCACGCACTGGTAAAAGAAAAATGGAAAGACTGGTCCTAGAACATAATTTTCCTGGAGCCAGAGCCACCTGTAGGTGACGTCACAGTTCCCTGCGGGGGTCTAGGCTCGGGTCCCTGTCTGTGGTACACTGGAAAATATCTGAAGTGGGAGCTGGGGACATCTGTTTGGAATCCCGCCTGTGCCAAAGCCAGCCGCGTGACCTTGGGCAAGGGATCAACCTCAGAGCTCAGATTTCTCATCTGTAAAGTGAGGCTATTAATACCTCCCTCACAAGGTTGTTATAAGGATTAAATGAGAAAATGTTTGTGAAAGAGCTTTGCACGGTACCAACTGCCATACAAATCCTAATTAATATTGTTATTATCTGTTGTTCTAAATGAGAAAAATGAATAATTTTAAGCCCCTTACCCAAGGAGATCCTCAGCTATCCCTGTCCCCCCAACTCTGCTGAGCCTCACCCAGTCACTGCACCTCCATCACTTGTCCCCATCAGACTAGTCTCCTCTCCTGCCCCATACTAGTTCCTCTGGCCCTGTCTAGAACAAACCTTTCTGCCTTAAAAGTCTCCCTCTCTCTTCTTCACCTATTTACACCCACTTCCTTCAATACTCAGCTCCCAACCTACCTCCTCTAGAAGATCTTTCCTCTGACAAAGGGTCAAGACCAGTTTGCTCTCTTCTCCCAACCAAGCTACCTATAACCCCACAGCCCCAAGCCAAAGTTAAGCACAGTGCTTGGTAAACCTAGATGGATGATAATGATGATGATGTATAAGTCTTAATAATAAAAGCAGCTAACACTTGGGAAGCACTGACTATGTGCTAGGGACTTTACACAACTTAACTCATTTATTGAGTACCGACTGGCCGTATAAGTTTGAAGATCTGCCTCCAAGACCCCATTGCAATATTACTTCCTTGGCAGAACCTTCTCCATTGGCCCTGGGCAGAATTAATGCTGCTGCCTCCATGCCCATGGGCTTTTACTGACCTAATTTCACTCGCTTTTAATGTTTATCATAGTGGTTGTCTCACCTTCCAGGCTAGGAACATCTTGAGGGCTAGGGTACTGTTATATTAATTTTCATTAGCCTTAGCATCTAACAGTGATGACTGGTGCATAGTTGCTGCTCATTAAATGTTTGTTGAATGAATGCAAGATGAATGGAGTAATTAACACCATCTCCCCCAATGTTCATGCAGTTTTATAAGCTGCTCTCTCCATGAGGCCATTTTCCTGACCTCATACCTCAAAAGCATTCTAGACCAGTGCTATTCCAAACATGATCTGTCTGCAAACTATTTACCACCAGCCTGTGATAAGGTTAAGTGCAGAAATTGAGAATGAGCATTTAGAAATTTTAAAGCAATTTGACAGAGTGTTTTTATGTTCATTGGATCTAATAATTTTAAAAGTTGAGCTTTTATCTTGTATGTTTTTATTTTGTGTTTTTCTAATAATTCATTCCCACTGCTTTTTGCAAGAGCATCATTCTACAACAGATTAAACTAAATTTAAAAATCAAGAACTGGTTCTTCGGCACAAGTAGTTTGAGAAGTACAGTTCCAAACCATCGTCCTCACTGGAAGGCCCATGGTTAAAGCACCCCACAGGCTCACCCTCTCTTCCTGGGTCCCACCCATCAACACTGGTTCTCACATCTGGAAGGACTTGGAATGGTATTTTACTCCTGTTTGGATTCCTCATATTTCCCCTTTCTTCCAAATCTGGTAGGTTAAATGACTGTGGTCTGGGCCTGGACAGGAAGAGAAGGCCAGGGAGGAGTCAGAAGAGAGTTTGGGAAGGGTCAACCAAGGTAGAGAATGCTGGAATGGAGCAGAAGGCTGTCCAGAGGAGGGTGTGGAGAGGCTGCCTAAGAAGACCTCTCTGAGCCGACTGGCTGAAGTCCCTGGAGCTGAGGGGCGATGGAGTGGGGAGGCAAGGACCACCACCGGTGGTGGCATCAACATAGGAGCAGATGAGAACCAGGCTCTTGAAGATGGAAGGAAGCAGTTTCAAGACAAATGAAAGGAGATATGAAATCGTTTCACAGAGAGGCATTAAACACAAGGCTCTCACAACCCCCCTGAGGTGGTCAAGGCCAAAACCATAAGTAAGTAGGTCATGGAGTGATACCGAAGCCCTCTTTTTTCCACCTAAGGGGGAGGAGGGGGAATGAAATGCGCAGGATGTAGAATGCCCTTTAGAAAGAGGTCTGAATCCCAGGCCAAAAAGGCTGGAAGAGCGAGACTTGATTACAGCCTAATCGATGGCATTAGCATATTTAAAGATCAAGTCAAGGAGAAGACCATGGACTCAGAAAGGCAAAATTTAATGGTGTTTGTTAAGCAGAGAGAAACACGAAATCTGGAAAGCTGGAGCTGTCTGGTCCCTGGAAAGTCAGTTCCAAGGTGGGGCAGGGCTGGGGAGCAAGGCCTCTGCAGGGCCTGGGCAAACCTCCCTGAGGATCTGCCAGCTTCCTCTCCTCTGATTCCACAACACTCAGCTGCTGTGACCTTCTCATCAAGAATTCTGCCTTCCACAAAGAATTACCTAGAGAGAGGGACCCATATAAATGTATGCTGCCCATACATTTGAGCATCAGTTCCCTCAATGATAATGATAGTGATGGTGACTACAGATTCTTTAAGCCCTTGTTATGTGTCAGGCACCATTCTAAGTCATTTAAAAATAATAGTTCATTTAAACCTTCCCCAAACTCTATGAGGTCGTATTCTTATCCTCATTTTATAGATGAGAATGTTGAGGTGCTGTTGATCTCCCAGGTTCATACAGTTTATAAATGGAAAAACCAAGACTCAAACTCAGGCAGTCTGACACCAGAACCTGCACTACACCAGACGCTCTGCATTTAATTTTTGTTGAGAGCATTAAACGGTGCATCCATCTCTTCTGGGACTGGTTGGGGTGAGTCAGTACCAAACTCGGCGTGATTGACTCTGGGGCACTAACCAAATGGGGTTTTTGCAAGATTCTGGACTGAGTGCTCCATCTAGAAAGTACCATCCTGTGTGGCTAAGCCAGTATGACCAGCTGGCTTCTTAGGCAATGCCCGTTCCCACTTCAGAGCCCCAAACCTCATCAGCACCCAGCTGTCCAAATACTTTGAGCTGGAGATCAGGAGGCTTAGGACTGGGCTACCAGCTACATGACTTAGGACAGGTGACCCACCTGTCTGTGAGCCTTAGTTTCCTCACGAGTAAACTGTGTGTTTTGGATCACTTGACCTCTTATAATAACTCTCTTTTTAAATGAAGAATCAGTTGGACCCATGAACGCTCTGGCTCTCGCCCAATCTGCTGACAAGTGACTGGAAGGGAAGAGGAGGGTGGGAACGGCAGGGCGCAGAATCCAGGGCAGTTAGGTTCAGAGTTTGTTCAAAGCCAGCTGACCATCACTCTGGGACGGTGCTCCTACGATAGTGCTGCCCCTTCCTCTGGAGGGGTCCAGGCTGTGCAGGAAAGAATCATTTCTCTACCTGCTTTTCAGCGCTGGCGGAAGGAAGGAAGGAGTAGGAGAAGTCAAAAGTTCTGTCCCACTGGAAGGGCTGGAGGGGGAAGTTTAAGGGGCAGGAGGAGGCAGGAGCTGCTACTCAGAGCTGGGGGTGCACTGGGGAGCTAGGGAGCAAACCAAATGAAGACGCGGAGGTCTAGCGGGTCGACTGTCCTTAGCCTGAGGGCTCGGCGGAGAGGGGGCGCTGTGGCCTCCTCTGCGCCCTGCCCGCAGGATTCCTAGCTGCCTTAGACAGCTGCAGCGCAATGCGCGCTGGGCTTTCCTCTCGGCGGTGTTCAGATGACCGCTAGCCCAGCAGAGCACCGCGGTCTCCTCATTATCTTGAGGTCCCCAGGTTCAGCCCCTTGCCCAGCGTGAGCAGGTGTAGTTTGTAGAATGAATGAATGAATGAATGAATGAATGAATGAATGAATGAATGAATGAATGAATGAAAGGGGTGTCTCCTGTGGAGCTTGAGCGTCTCTGTGCGCACCTGGCTTGTCTGTGCCAAAGGCTCTGGGGGTCGGGCCCAACGCCCCACCCTGCTGAAGTGGGAGCGCGAGGGACCTTCTGCTGGCCCGCTGCAGGGCGGGAACTGCCTAAACGCAGTTTCCATTTCTTCACCGGGTTTCCGCGGCGGCTCTGCTCAGGTCGGGGTTGCCCTATTCCCCGTTCTCCAACAGCCTCGCTTTCAAAGATTCATTTGAGTCCTCAAAGTCTTCCCCAGACTCCCTTAGCCTCCCCAGGCCCCGACCTCAAGCTGGGCGGGAGACGGGAGACTGCTTCTTCTGCTGTCCCCCCGCCCGCCCCCGCCCCATCTCCGGCTTCTGCCCGGGCTGCGGCGGCCGCCACCGCTGCCACCGCACCCCGCCGACTGCCGCAAACCCGGGAGCTGGGAAAGGGGGTCAGTGCAGCGAGGGCGCAGGG